TCAGCTCGAAGCATTATAAATGAAACTAACAAATTTTAATTTAAAAAAAAAAGAAACCAGTAAGATTAAGTTAGGTTTTTCTCTCTTTTTGCAACTACGTTATTAGTCAACCAAATATGGGTCAGTGGAGAGCAGATTGATGTTCACAGGAGAGACTTTAGGAAGTGAGTAAGAAAGGAACGTGCAGCACATCCTGGCAGATTTCTAAAGAGCATCCCAGGGATGAACCTTAAGCTTAATAAGTAAAAGAGCTTGATTACTGCATATATAAAACACTTCCTGCTAATTAATAGAGTTACCCTAGTTAGCTTTAAATCATCTTGATACAGCCTAGAATCACCTAAGAAGGGGGTTTCAACTGAAGGATTGCCCAGATCTGGCTGTCCTCTGGGCATTGTCTGATGATGATTTCTGTGGTTGTTAATGATGCAGAAGAGCCCAGCCCACTGTGGGTGTTACCATTCCCAGGCAGGCATCCTGGACGTAGAAGAAAGCTGAGTATGAATAGTGAATGAGTCAAACAGCAAGTCAGCAAGCAGCATCCCTTCATCGTTTCGGCTTCAAGCTCTGACTTGAGTTGCTGCCCTTTATTTCTGCTCCTTCAGTGACAGGAACAGAAATAAAACATTTCTTCCCCTAAGTTGCTCTTGGTCAGGGTGTTTTAGCATAGCAACAGAACCGAAAATGCAGCAAGTATATCCTTCCATGTTCCTCCTGTTTTTTTTTTTTTTTCTTTTATGGGTGGCCAAAAGTAATACAGTAATTCATCATACAAAATTGTGCTTTAGGATAGTAGCCCCACCCTCAAATCTCACCTATACATTTTAAAATATACCAGTAAAATAATATTCTTGCCTTTAACATTATAAGTTTTTTGGCTATCCATGAAAAGTCTCACATAATTATTTATGCCTATGTAGATACATGGACATATCATCATTACCCATTATGTATTCAGAGAGACAATTGTTTTCATTCAATGAGTGCAAAACAACGCCTGTATAAGATAGACCACCTGGGGCTGGAAAGGTAGCTCAGTGGTTAAAGGCAATGGATGCTCTTGCACAGAACCTAAGTTTGATTCCCAGCACCCACGTGGTAGCTCCGAACGGTCTGTAGCACCAACTCCAGAGGATCTGATACACTGTTCTAACCTTTGCTGGCACCAGCTACACATGCGGGCAAAGCAATCAAACACATAAAAATAAACTTAAAAAAAAAATAGACCACCTATATATTTCTTAGCTTGAATGACAAAACATTCCAGCGCTCTCTGATCTAATGTTCACGGGGCACTGCAAGTTACTATGTAACAAACGAGAACAATAATGAATAACATGTGCCGAAGCTGCAGCCAGAAGCTGTCTGAGAAGCACACAGCGCTCAGCTCAGCTCGCTCCTAGGTTACATCACAAGGGACCACCCTCTTGTTTGTGGTGCACAGGAAGAAAAGCAGGCCTCCATAGCACATGTTACACTTGTAATCTTTTTTCAATAGAGTCTCTCACTGCTTCCAGAAATGAAAAAGCAACCATGGAAGGCAATAGTGAAACATTTCAGTCTTGTTGAAAACCCACAAGTGGGATAAACTGTACACAAATATGGACATATACACATATACATATCTGGGAGAAGAAAATAGTGCTGTCATAATGCTTCCAGATTATCACTGCTGATCACTGTTGGTACTTAGAAAGCTGAAGACTTATAACCTCCCAGACATAGATACGTAGTTTGTGAAGCACTAGGAAGAATTAACTAGCTTCATAGTGTGGTTGGTCTAGGCCAATGATTCCAATCTGTGGGTCACCACCCCTTTGGGGGTCAACCAACCCTTTCACAGGGTTGCATATTATAATTCATAATAGTAGCAAAATAACAGTCATGAAGTAGCAATAAGAATATGTTTTATGGTTGGGGGGTCACCACAACATAAGCAAGCTGAATTAAAGGATTGCAGCATTAGGAAGGTTGAGAACCACTGCTCTGGGTTATTAGATATTGTGCAACTCCAAAAGTGTGTGAAGAAGTCAAGAAAAGCCCTTTCCCTTCCGGCTTGACCGAACCAGGCTCGTGGGCCAGTGACACCCAGAAATTAAGAGGTTTTTAAAACCCGAGAGCTCGCGAACGGCTGCTCCGTGGCTGTCAACATGCCACAAAATGAATATATTGAATTGCACCGCAAACGATATGGCTATCGTTTGGACTACCATGAGAAAAAGAGAAAGAAAGAAGGTCGGGAGGCCCATGAACGTTCAAAGAAGGCAAAAAAAAAGATTGGCCTGAAGGCTAAGCTCTACCATAAACAGCGCCATGCCGAGAAAATACAAAGGCAAAAGACTATTAAGATGCATGAAAAGAGAAACACCAAGCAGAAGGATGATGAGAAGACTCCACAAGGAGCAGTCCCTGCCTGTCTGCTGGACAGAGAGGGGCAGTCCAGAGCAAAAGTACTTTCCAACATGATTAAGCAGAAACAAAAAGAAAAGGCGGGAAAATGGGAGGTTCCTCTACCCAAAGTTCGTGCCCAAGGAGAAACAGAAGTATTGAAAGTTATTCGAACAGGAAAAAGAAAAAAGAAGGCATGGAAGAGAATGGTTACTAAAGTCTGCTTTGTTGGTGATGGTTTTACAAGAAAACCACCTAAATATGAAAGGTTCATTAGGCCAATGGGTCTACGTTTCAAAAAAGCCCATGTCACACACCCTGAGCTGAAGGCTACTTTTTGCCTGCCTATACTCAGTGTGAAAAAGAATCCATCATCCCCGTTATATACAACCCTGGGTGTGACCACCAAAGGTACAGTTATTGAAATGAATGTGAGCGAGTTGGGCCTTGTGACACAAGGATGCAAGGTTATTTGGGGAAAGTATGCCCAAGTTACCAACAATCCTGAAAATGATGGTGCATAAATGCAGTCTTGCTGGTTTGACAGTGACATCATTCAAGTCATTCCACTCACTAGGAAGACTACATGCTGTCAGGAAAACACCATCGCTGTGACCTTTCTGAACTACCACGCAGCCTTACCCCATGTACAGTCATCAAGAAGTATTCATTAAGGTGTAAAGGAAAATAAAACACTGCCCTATTTAAAAAAAAAAAAAGTCAAGAAAACAAACTCTGATGGGAGAGGAGGGATTGAAGAGCTGGAAACTTGTCAGGAGAAGACCTAGGCTTTGGCAAATTTGGGTGTAGGAAGAAATTCACCTTGTGTTCTTTCCATCATCTGAAATAAATTCTTCTGTGCTTGTCAAAGAGGCCATCTTCCATCATTTGGAATTACTAAGTACAGACAAGACTATCCAGAGGCCGTATGTCATACCCATCAGTCTTAGCTTCTTTTCCTGCTGCTTTGGTAAAATATTCTGACGAAAGCAACTTAAGGGAGAAGGGGTTTTCTTCGTTCACAGTTTCAGGTTGCCATTCATCCTCTCCAGGAACTCACACCAGCAGAAGCCTCAGAGTCACATTACATTCATTTTGATATACACCCCCCAGTTCCCCAACCCCGTGTAGCAAGAAACAACTTTTTAAGTAGACTTGAAAACAGCACCCATTTGATAGTCCCTCATCCAAAATACATGGGTTCAGCATGATTCAGAACTTAGAGTCCTAAAGCTTAAACATGTGCTTACAGATATGAACTACTTTGGAGATTAGCCTCAAGTTTAAACAAATTTCATTCTTATTTCATAAAATTATCTTATGTTTCATGTGTAAGGTTTTCCATAAACCTGACACACATAAGCCAAAATATTTGTCACGTGAGATCGGGTGTTGAATTTTCAACATCATCTTGGCACTCAGAAAGTTGCAGATTGGGGGCTTATTGGATTTTGGGTTTGAGGGATAAGTATATTCAAGGGCTCGGTGAGTAAAGCATTTGCTGTGTATGCATGAGATTTGAGTTCAAATTCCCAGCACCCACGTAAAGCTCGGAGCAGTAGTGAGTGTAATCTTAACACTCTTGAAGAGACATGGAAGGCAGAGGCAGGGAAATCCTTGGCAGCTTGCTGCCAGCTAGCCTGGCATACCCAGCAGTGAGCAACAAAAGCAAAATGAAATCCCATCTCAAACAAGGTGGAAGGTGAGGACCCATCACTCAGAGTTATCCTTTGACCTCTGGTGTATGCTGTAGCATACATGTGTATTCATATATCATACACACACAAACATACACGCTTGCACACATATTCATTCACACACACATGCACACTACACGCACACACACACACACACACACACACACCTCTGTAGAAAATCTGTTTAGCTGATTTTAGTTTCATTAAGCAGAATCCCCCCTGAAGCACACCTGTCTCTCTCAGAACAGCTTCCAGCTGTCCCCAGCCCTGTCTGCCATAGCCTGGATGTGATGTGGTACGTACATGCTCTTGTGCGTCTATGAGCCGACTGGTGTCTTCCAAGTCGTGTTTATTCTGTAATGTATCTATTATGGTTGTATATCTCAGAATAAATGCCATTCATTAACTACTTCCCAGATCACTGAGACAATCTGATGAAAGTTATTGCTAAGAAAACTGGGTATGATAGTCTGCAAGGAATGTGAGTTACTTGACAGTTTTGCCTTTGAATCTAGAGAAGCCGGTACAATAATCAGCAACTAAGGTGGAAAAATTATATTCTCAACTTCACGTTACAAAACAAAAAGTGCGTGGGTCCTGAGTGAGATTTCTGCAACAACAGAAAATCCAGGGTTTCAACCAGTAGGCTTCCTGGCAAAAGAAGGTTCTAGACCTAGCTCACAGGACTATACATTCATATTATGTGTGAAATATATGAACGAGTGTTTTACATTTTGTAAATCCGACACCGTTGTTTAGCTGTCTGCTGCTCTTCCAGTCTGCCGAAATGGTGGCTTTCACGTCCCTTCAACTGTCTCCTAAGCCGGGACTATGCTCGCTAGTTGTAGTTTATTGCTTAAACATTTTTCTAGCTTAGGCTATTTATTCCTGCTCTTTTCTCTTAACAACTGAGTCATCTCCTCTTCTCCTTTACCCCCGCCATCGTGCGCACTGCGCCTGATTCGGCTTCTCGCCATGTCTTCTCACAAGACTTTCAGAATCAAGCGATTCCTGGCCAAGAAACAAAAGCAAAATCGTCCAATTCCTCAGTGGATCCGGATGAAAACTGGTAACAAAATCAGGTACAACTCTAAGAGAAGACACTGGAGGAGAACGAAGCTGGGTCTGTAAGGATTTACACAGTGACAAGACTGAGGGTTTATACTGAACTATGGTCATCGGTCAGCCCTACCAGATGGATTTCAACATTTTTAACCTGGAGACTTGCTTGTGTTTAAATTAGATGTCTGTCCAGAAATAAAATTTAGAACCTTTAAAAAAAAAAAAAAAAAAAAAAAAAAAAAAAAAAAAAAAAAAAAAAA